GAGGCGGACAGTCACTGGGTTCACCACCTTGGCAACGGGGATCGGCCCGATGAAACAGAGTGCCAGCTTCCTGCTTTCCACCCTAAGGGGCAGGTCCTTGGTGGAGGGCCAAACCTTCTCACCCACTGGGTAATCAGGGCTGCTAACCCTCCAGTGCTTTGCAGCCCTTGTTTGGCTATCTGATACATAACACAAAGCTCTGTTAGCGCTCCTCCAGGCTCGCTTGCCCCTCAAAATGGAACACGAAGCCAATGGAACCTTCAGATTTTTCTCTGGAATGGTGAACACCGTTGACTGAAAACCAAACACAACAAAAAACTAGAGAGCCCAGTGGTGCTAGAAGGAGCACAATTTATGGTGTATTCAATCCATGACCGTTGACTGGACCATCTTGTAGGATCAGACTCACAGAGTATATGAACATTTAGTCTCCACCTCTTGGTTAGCCCTCTCTGTCTGGCTGTCAGTCTGAGGATGGAACCCTGACGATAGACTGACAGAGATCCCAAGCAGAGCGCAGAATTCTTTCCTGTTTTGAGACACAAACTAGAAACTATGTCCTCCGGTAGACCATGGAGGTGAAAAACCTCACACAACAATCCCTCAGATTTTTGGAATCACAGGAATTTTTGGAAAACATGTTGATGATGGTAAAAATATTTTCTTCAGAATTGGGTAAACAGGTGATGAAATTCATGGCAATGAATCAGAATCAGAAATAGTTTGATAATCCCAGAGGGAAATTACTTTTGTTAATGTTGGACCATGGTGGAGACAGAATAGACTTCTAGAAGTTTTAGATTGATTGCAATGGGGGCAAGCTACCACAAACTCCTGTACATGGAGTCAGTCCAAACCAAAAAAGGAGTCTTGGACCCCTCCAACTAACGTCTCCATTCCTCCAGAGCCAGCTTGACCGCTAGCAGTTCTCCGTCCCCAACATCATAGTTCTTCTCTGCACTTTAAAGTTTCTTAGAAAAAACAGCACATAGGTCAATGTGAGCATCTCTGGCTTCCTGACTGAGGACCGCCCTGACCCCAGTGCTGGAGGCATCCACCTCTACAATAAATAATTTTTCAGTGTCAGGAGAAACCAGAGCTGGTTCAGAGGTAAACAGAGATTTAGGGTTTTGAAAGGCTTGATCAGCCTGTTCGTTATAACAAAACCTAACCTTAGGAGAAGTGTAAGGGCAGGAAAGGGCGCAGCTACCTGACTGTTGTTTCTGATTAATCTCCTGTAGAAATTAGCAAACCCAGGGAACCTCGGCAGTCTCTTGTCTTTGGGTATAGGCCAGTGGGTAACCTTTCTAGGGCCCATAGAGATCTGATTAGGAGAAACCACAAAACCCAGGAATGACATTGTGTCGACATGAAATTCCCATTTCTGAGCCTTAACAAACAATTCATTTTGTAAAGGGTGCAACAGATTAGCTCTGACGTGTTTTTATGGGACTACAGGTTCCAAGGGTAAATGATAATATCATCTAAATAGACAAAAACAAAATGTCCCACCATGTCACTAAGTACCTCATTTAATAAGTTCTGGAGGACAGCTGGAACATTGGTGAGACCAAAAGGCATGACTAGATACTCATAGTGTCCAGTAGGAGTATTGAAAGCTGTCTTCCACTCATCACCCTGACAGATTCGTACAAAATGGTATGCATTGCGTACTTAGTGAATCATTTTGCACCCTGAATCTGGTCAAAAGCTGAATTGATTAGTGGAATGGTATAGAGATTCATTGCTGTGATAATATTAAGACCTCTGAAGTCTATGCACCATCTGAGAGAACTGTTCATCTTCCCTACCAAAAAGAAGCCCACACCAGTAGGTGAGAAAGAGGGACGACCCAGAGATATATTTCTCCATGGCTTTTGATTCTGGAACTGACAAGGAATATAACCTTCCTCTCGGGGGTACCTGGGGAGAAGGACAGTCCAGCTTGGCTTAGCTGGATTCTCCCCCCTCCTACTGAGCCTGTCCTTTTACTAGAAAAGATCTCTCTCGGTGTCCCTCTCCGCCGCAGTAGAGGCACATTTTCAGCTTGAAATGTCGATCCCTCTCCTCCATGGAAAGACGGGTGTGTCACAGCTGCATCGGTACAGTGCCAGGTACATCGCTACAGGTGCCAGAGGAATAGAAGAAGCATCAGAATGCACATTTGCTGATGTGAGCTTTCTGCGCTATTCTAAGAAGTGAAGATCAAACCAAGAAGCCAGACCCTGTAGCTGCTTCAGAGACTGAGGGTAGGCTCTGGTGGAGAGTTCATCTTCTATCCTTTCCTTCAGCCCAGTGATAAATACACCCACGAGAACTTCCTCGGTCCAGTGACTCTCCTGGACGCTAGCTAATGGAAGTCAATAATATACTTTGGCACAGTCCGATCTCCCTGTCTCAAAGAAAGGAGTCCTCTTGATGCCTCCCTACTGGGAAGCACTGAGCAGAAATCAGCTGGAAAAATCACCAGCTGTGAAATCCAGCTGGATGATTTCTCACAGCCCATGGCAGACGCCACCCAGAGAATTCCTTGATCCAAAGCCAAGAAGGCTGCTAAACTGGCTGATGAGCAGAAGCAAGTAGACTAGGGAAGGCTAGAGTTTACAGAAGGCAAAGCCAAAGCAGGTGTCAATGAGGTTAACAGGAGTCCAGGCCAAAACATCAGAGACCCAGTGGGGTTACCAAAGGGAAATATAGGTTAGGATCAGGAGACAGATCCAGCATTGTAAGCAGGCAGGATCCAGCAGGAGTCCAAAGACAGACCAGGCAAGCAGATCAGAACAGGGGCACACAGGCTCAGAGGTCCAAAGGCAGAATCTAAACACTAAAACATTAAACTAGCAAAAAAAAAGTAGAACACTTTGGTTCAATTTGGAGCTTGACGCGGGGGTGGTGACCTCTGGATGACTAATAAATCATCTTTAACAAAAGTAATCTGAAACAACAGTAGAACATAGGATTTTTTTTTTTTACAAAGAATAATTTTTTTAAGTACTAACAACTCAGTCTGTTTTCTGAGTTCTTTCTTAGATTCTAGCAGCCCAAGCATCTCCTATTTGCTGACACGCTCTGCACTGTGCATCTGAAATGCAAAGCGCTAAACTCTCCTTGGTGCTTGTGAAATTACAGCAGTCACCGCAACTTGTCTGAATGCACTGTTACTGTGATTATGTGCAGGCATTCGAACTTGTTGAGACAAACATAGATATATGTGTCTCACAAATAAAAATGTATGTATCCCAAATATATGTATGTGTATGTGCATGTTTGTCTTGAGGAATGTTGATTTGAGTTTTCCAAGTTTCCCACAATATTAGACAGTTGTAATCAACACCTATTATTGATAGAAGGTCATTAAAATAATTATAAAAAGTTTGCTTTGGGCTTAAGCTTACAATAAACCTTTAAGAATATTTCTCATGCCCCCAAATATAAAAATACTTGAAATCAAAAGATCACCCCCCCATAATTTGGACTCAGATTACAGGATTAATGACAATTTTGACATTTGTTCATTCTTTTGCTCACTTATGCACATTGCAATCATTACTTTTTTTAGATCTTTAATATATATATATATATTGATATTTAATTTTATTTCTTTAGATGATAAATGTGTGCAATATGTTGTTTGTATACCTGGAGCGTGTAACAACGATAATTTCTGCCTGGGATCATTAAAGTATTTCTAATTCTGAAAGCCTTAAATCATAGGGGATCCTTCACTAATCCCATCTGCAATGTCTGGTAAAAAAAAAAACTAAAATAAAAAAAACTGTTTATTCTGATTTCATCTTTATTGTTTTTATTGGTGGAGCTAGTTTTCTGGCCATCACTGTTCAGAATCACTGGGGGAGTTGTAAACTTTCCTTTACCAGCATTTACCTTCTTGTTAATTTCAAGACACTTTTTTGACATTTTTTACATTTCCATAACTGCTATTTTCTCCAGATACTTCTCAAGATCCTTAGTTGAACAGAGGCATCTTTAACTGAATACCTAATGCTGGTTGATCCCTCTTTCAGATGTTCTTTCAGATGAAAATGTTCTTTAGTTTCAGATAATACACAAGAATCTAAGAGTAAAAGAGTGTAAGCCACTAGGAAGGGGTGAAAAAATGTCAAACCAAACAAAATGTTAAAAGAAAACAAACAATTTTCCACAAAATCAACTGACGAATTGCTGTGCTATATAATAGATAAACACTGAATTTGTTGAATTTAATTTCAACTGCAACTTCTTTATGTTGCATGAGAGAAAGTTTCTGTTTTCATTAAAAGTGCAACTCAGTTGTTAACTCGAATGTAAATAACATTTCAAATAGAGAAAGACACAAACTATCATTGATTACTGTTCTTTTCCTTTTCCTTTCCCTATTCCATCCTCTTATAAAAGAAAAAAAAAACTTTTTCCAAACTTTTTTTTATACAAACACTTCAGTGCCTCTTATGGCAAAATGTTTTTTTTAAATGATGTAATCACTCAATCCTGCAAGGGAATACATTTGCTTTCTGAAGTATTTGTTCACTGTAGAAACAACTCTGAAGCTACAAACTTTCCACCAATCAGGTTCAAAAGAAACTGATTGGATGATTTGAAATATTTAATTAGCTGAATTTGCTTGACAATGTTATTTTATTGTTGCAAGAGCCAGGCTGGTCACTTGAAGAGTTCAAGTCAGCTGTCAAATAACAAAGAGAGATTTCTTAGCCAAGAAAAAATGAATGTTTCAATAATTTCAGTGTTTTTTCTTTCAGGTTTGAATGAAACAAGTCGGAATCAGAGATCAGCTTTATTCTTCCTCAGTTTGCTGTGTTACTGCACAACCATCTTGGTAAATGTTTCTCTTATTCTGATCATCATCTTTGACAAAGCACTACATGAACCAATGTATATTCTTCTATGTGCGTTTTGCATTAATGCACTTTATGGAACAGCAGGTTTCTATCCTAAATTTCTGTGGGATCTGCTTTCTCCTGTTCATGTCATCTCTTATTCAGGGTGTCTTTTGCAGGCTCAGTTGTTGTACTCCTTTGCCTGCAGTGATCTGTCCATCCTTGCTCTTATGGCATATGATCGGTATTTGGCTATATGTCGTCCATTGGAATACCACTGTGTCATGTCAGTACAAAGGGTCATTAAGCTGGCATGCTCTTTTTGGTTAACATCATTTTTCATTGTTGCAGTCAACATTTTTCTTACATCCAGACTGAAGTTATGCAGTCCATACATTAACAGACTTTTCTGTGTGAACTTGGTGATTGTGTCACTGTCATGTATTCCTAAAGAAACCGCTACTAACAGCATTATTGCAAACATTACAATAATAATTTATATTCTTCATGGTTTCTTTATTGTATGGTCTTACATGTATATCATTAAAAGATGTTACAATTCTATAGAAAACAGGGCAAAGTTTATGCAAACTTGTGTGCCACATTTAATCTCTTTATGCACTTTTTTTCTGACCATACTTATTGAAATTGTTAATGATCGACTCGGATCTAAAGAATTACCTCAGCCTTTAAAAAACTTTATTGCAATAGAGGTTCTTGTCATTCCTCCCCTGATGAATCCGCTCATTTATGGTTTTAAGTTGACCAAGGTCAGAAACAGAATTATTGATTTTGTTACTTTTAAATTCAAATCAATTTAAGGACACATTTAGGATGTATTACTAAACAATGCATTCATAACCTGTCATTATATATTTTTTCAATCATGTTCAAGTTGTTGACCAGTTTGCCTGCAGAATAAATTGCTCATAGCAACATCCGTTTTTCCGGGATTTTTTATTGTTTTTTTTTTGTTATGCATTGAGGTACCGGTACTACTGTAGGAAGAATGTGATTGGTTTTAGATCATGAGGGTATTTTGTGACTCAATCTTTTTTTTTTCATTTTTAATTTACAAATAAACAACAAAAACAAACAAAATACAAATACAAATGTACAGTACTATTCAACATAAATATACATGTAACATTTCTGGTAGTAATGCAAGCAATTTAGTGATGTGACCTGATAGATGACAAGGAGCATCTCCATATTTGACTTGTTACTTTGAAATTGTTTATCTTATCAGTGATTGAAATAAACGAGACTGTTATGAGCTTAAGGTAGTCCATAGTCTGAGGCCTGTTGGAACTTTTCCATTTCCACAGAAGGTCTTGCACCCACAATAAAACCAGCCACTTTAAGCCCTAACACTTCTGTGGAAAATCCAGGCGGTATGAGAGACTTATGTTTGAACAGATAGACGCTGTTGTAATGATTTATCTGTGGACAGTCAAGTCAAGTCCATCCTTCCAAGTCTGCAATTACTTCAGTCCAAAATGGGGCATTCACCAAGGGGCATTCTGAGATAATGGAACTGGTCTCCATAGACCCCCTAAAAGGTTAAGTGTCACTGGAGGTGACGTTTTTTGCCGTGTTATGCAATCTGGGCTCTACTTTCTCACTGTTTACCAAAATAGCCCAAGGCTCAAACCTCAACAGAGATTTCTCATAAAGACTGACAGGCAGTGTCCTGCTGCTCCAGAGAGGAGGGGAGATTACATCCATGAGCGCAATAAACAGCTGATTAATGCACAACATACTTGAAATCAGGTGCATTTCAGCGCATATTTAATGCAGTTTAATAATTACATTTCTGAAGTTTTACAATACATATTTTACCAATAATTTTACGAAATTTGCAGGGTATTCAATGAGAAATCACCACTGTTATATACATCCAAAATCGTTCATGAATTCCATTTCTTTATAGTTTTTAATTCTTTACTTTGTCAATTTCAATTTTTATTTTACTGCCAGCTGATTTTCTTTCTGTTTTAAAGGAAGGGTATGTAAACTTTCAAGCAGAAATGTATTCACAAGCCATTTTACTAGTTTCTGTGTTTACTGTCTCTTGTATCTCCATTCTGCTCCTTCTCCAAAAATCTGACAGCAACCATGCAGCAACCATTGAGACTATCTTATAGTGCCATACTTCAGCCCAAATCTGCAATTCTAAGATTTACAATCTGTTGAAAACAGGGAAAACATTCAAAGAGTTACGGTAATTCAAAGAACGTGTATTTCTCTGTCACCAGTGTCAGCTCAGGTTTTTAAATGAATAAATTGAATCATCCATCTACCATCCATACATAGGTTTTATATCCCATGTACTAATTTCATAAGCCAACTTCCTGTGCTGCAGGGATGTTCAGACTCAGGACTTACATTGTTTATAAGAACAAATTCATAATATTTTATATACTTTAGCCTACGCCCACTGTGAAAGTTGCAATTTTTTCCTTTTGCCGAATTTTACTTCTTGTATGTAGCTAAATGGCATTAATAAGAGCTGACAGAGCCTTTTTAACTTTAACCTATTCAACATTAGAATCCAGTAATTACAATGTCTAAATAATTCAATAATTTCAAGATAAATACATAGCTCTAAACACGGGAGTGCTAGCCTTCTAATATCTATTGGAGCATTGGCTTTGTAAATCCAGAACTTGACTTTTTATTGTTTACCGAAATCTTGAATTATAATAATAATAAAACTTTATTGATCTCACATTTGAGAAATTTACCTCTGCATTTAACCCATCCCATTGGGGAGCAGTTCCCAGCCACTGTGCGGTGCCCGGGGGCAGTGTGGGGTTAAGGGTCTTGCTAAGGGACCCAGAGTGTCAGTCCGTGGGAGTGGGGCTTTGAATCAGTGATTCAGCAATCACAAGCAAAGGCCTTGGAAACCCCCTTAACGGACACTTAAACTGGGTCCTGAGACTTACTATGTGAACTCACTGGGGGTGGAGCCTTAAGCCTATTTTATGCTCAGAAACCAGATAGTTTGTGTGTATGTTGAATCTGATTGGTCAATTCAACATCCGCTCTACACTATGCGAATTTCCTGTTTGTGTCATGATTTTTATCTAAGGTCTTACCCCAACATGCAGAAAGCCAAACAGAGAGACCAGGGAAAAGTTTAACAGGTTTATTAAGAGTATGGTGATGACTCAAGTACAGCTCAGAGTAGAATGAAGTGAGTCCAGTGTTGCTCTGAACACTGCNGCAGAATCTAAACACTAAAACATTAAACTAGCAAAAAAAAAGTAGAACACTTTGGTTCAATTTGGAGCTTGACGCGGGGGTGGTGACCTCTGGATGACTAATAAATCATCTTTAACAAAAGTAATCTGAAACAACAGTAGAACATAGGATTTTTTTTTTTTACAAAGAATAATTTTTTTAAGTACTAACAACTCAGTCTGTTTTCTGAGTTCTTTCTTAGATTCTAGCAGCCCAAGCATCTCCTATTTGCTGACACGCTCTGCACTGTGCATCTGAAATGCAAAGCGCTAAACTCTCCTTGGTGCTTGTGAAATTACAGCAGTCACCGCAACTTGTCTGAATGCACTGTTACTGTGATTATGTGCAGGCATTCGAACTTGTTGAGACAAACATAGATATATGTGTCTCACAAATAAAAATGTATGTATCCCAAATATATGTATGTGTATGTGCATGTTTGTCTTGAGGAATGTTGATTTGAGTTTTCCAAGTTTCCCACAATATTAGACAGTTGTAATCAACACCTATTATTGATAGAAGGTCATTAAAATAATTATAAAAAGTTTGCTTTGGGCTTAAGCTTACAATAAACCTTTAAGAATATTTCTCATGCCCCCAAATATAAAAATACTTGAAATCAAAAGATCACCCCCCCATAATTTGGACTCAGATTACAGGATTAATGACAATTTTGACATTTGTTCATTCTTTTGCTCACTTATGCACATTGCAATCATTACTTTTTTTAGATCTTTAATATATATATATATATTGATATTTAATTTTATTTCTTTAGATGATAAATGTGTGCAATATGTTGTTTGTATACCTGGAGCGTGTAACAACGATAATTTCTGCCTGGGATCATTAAAGTATTTCTAATTCTGAAAGCCTTAAATCATAGGGGATCCTTCACTAATCCCATCTGCAATGTCTGGTAAAAAAAAAAACTAAAATAAAAAAAACTGTTTATTCTGATTTCATCTTTATTGTTTTTATTGGTGGAGCTAGTTTTCTGGCCATCACTGTTCAGAATCACTGGGGGAGTTGTAAACTTTCCTTTACCAGCATTTACCTTCTTGTTAATTTCAAGACACTTTTTTGACATTTTTTACATTTCCATAACTGCTATTTTCTCCAGATACTTCTCAAGATCCTTAGTTGAACAGAGGCATCTTTAACTGAATACCTAATGCTGGTTGATCCCTCTTTCAGATGTTCTTTCAGATGAAAATGTTCTTTAGTTTCAGATAATACACAAGAATCTAAGAGTAAAAGAGTGTAAGCCACTAGGAAGGGGTGAAAAAATGTCAAACCAAACAAAATGTTAAAAGAAAACAAACAATTTTCCACAAAATCAACTGACGAATTGCTGTGCTATATAATAGATAAACACTGAATTTGTTGAATTTAATTTCAACTGCAACTTCTTTATGTTGCATGAGAGAAAGTTTCTGTTTTCATTAAAAGTGCAACTCAGTTGTTAACTCGAATGTAAATAACATTTCAAATAGAGAAAGACACAAACTATCATTGATTACTGTTCTTTTCCTTTTCCTTTCCCTATTCCATCCTCTTATAAAAGAAAAAAAAAACTTTTTCCAAACTTTTTTTTATACAAACACTTCAGTGCCTCTTATGGCAAAATGTTTTTTTTAAATGATGTAATCACTCAATCCTGCAAGGGAATACATTTGCTTTCTGAAGTATTTGTTCACTGTAGAAACAACTCTGAAGCTACAAACTTTCCACCAATCAGGTTCAAAAGAAACTGATTGGATGATTTGAAATATTTAATTAGCTGAATTTGCTTGACAATGTTATTTTATTGTTGCAAGAGCCAGGCTGGTCACTTGAAGAGTTCAAGTCAGCTGTCAAATAACAAAGAGAGATTTCTTAGCCAAGAAAAAATGAATGTTTCAATAATTTCAGTGTTTTTTCTTTCAGGTTTGAATGAAACAAGTCGGAATCAGAGATCAGCTTTATTCTTCCTCAGTTTGCTGTGTTACTGCACAACCATCTTGGTAAATGTTTCTCTTATTCTGATCATCATCTTTGACAAAGCACTACATGAACCAATGTATATTCTTCTATGTGCGTTTTGCATTAATGCACTTTATGGAACAGCAGGTTTCTATCCTAAATTTCTGTGGGATCTGCTTTCTCCTGTTCATGTCATCTCTTATTCAGGGTGTCTTTTGCAGGCTCAGTTGTTGTACTCCTTTGCCTGCAGTGATCTGTCCATCCTTGCTCTTATGGCATATGATCGGTATTTGGCTATATGTCGTCCATTGGAATACCACTGTGTCATGTCAGTACAAAGGGTCATTAAGCTGGCATGCTCTTTTTGGTTAACATCATTTTTCATTGTTGCAGTCAACATTTTTCTTACATCCAGACTGAAGTTATGCAGTCCATACATTAACAGACTTTTCTGTGTGAACTTGGTGATTGTGTCACTGTCATGTATTCCTAAAGAAACCGCTACTAACAGCATTATTGCAAACATTACAATAATAATTTATATTCTTCATGGTTTCTTTATTGTATGGTCTTACATGTATATCATTAAAAGATGTTACAATTCTATAGAAAACAGGGCAAAGTTTATGCAAACTTGTGTGCCACATT